ACACACATACACACATACACACATACACACACATGCACACATCCTTTAGCAAAAGAGTAAGCTCACTTTTTTCTTTTTTTCTTGTCGCGAAAAACCTGTTCATCCAACTGCATAATATTGCTGCTGTTGTTATTGTTGAAAAATTAATTGAAAAACAAAGTCCGTGTGTTTAGCCATCCTTTTTTGGAGCTTTTTTCTTTTTCTTAGAAATACACATTTATTTCATAGATTTGACAAATATATTTGTTGTTTAAATTTATGAGAAAATTTCATTTTATTTGACATGTTTAGGAATTTTATTTTTTTATTTTTAAAGTTAACATTGAGAAATAAATTTGAAGGATTTCTTGAAAGCTTTTAATTCACTTTCTGCTTCATAATATATGTGAATGAAAGCATTGATGAATTTCTCGGAACAGAACATTTAGCATTTTTAAAAGCATTAGCTATGTGAAATTAATAATAATAAAAGTGTGCCGGTGCTTTGTTGATTTTTTTTTTTTGAGTGCAAATAGTATTTCCAAAAAAGAAGAGTAAAACGTGTTTACATTATTGTTTGGAAAGGATGTCAAATTGGAAGATTTAATTTTAATAATAAAATTATAGTATGATTTTAGACTATTGCAGTGACAGTATACTAAATTATCAAAGATTACTTGACTTATATAAAGAATAAATTTTAGCAAGAATTAAAATTTCCGACTTTCAACTTAGCTTTAATCTCAAATTAATACTTACCATCAATTCGAATATCATGCTATTTTGCAGCAAATTATTTTCCTATAGCATCGTTTTAATTAAATTAAAGTTCAAACAGCTATGGGTCATTTTAATTGTGTACTTAGTTTCTGATAATATTCAAAATTTATGGATAATTTATAAATGTCATAAAAATTAAAATTATTTCAGGAATTCATTCTTAAGAATGTGTGACAGTTCGGATGGGAATGGTATGGAAAGAGAGAAGGAAGCGCAACTTCAACAGGCTATCAGTGCTTTCATGCAACCGCCGTTCTTCAACGATATTTGCATACGTATCGTAACGATTGATCTATCCAATGGTCATAGGAATGGTACTCTTTTCTTTGTTCCCTTCTTTCTTTGTTGTTTACTTTATTTCATTAACATTTAGCATCAATTTTAGTTTTTACAATTTAAAAAAAAATTTTGATTTCAGAAAAACGATGTTTTTGAGTATACTTGATGAAGTTGAAAGTTAAAATGGTAAGAAATGAAAAATTAATTTCAAGAAAGCAATGTAAAATTTGATTTTCAGAGGAGCAAGTGCTAGCAAACAAATTTCTATTAGCATTTTTTTCGTTGCACATTCGTGAATTAATCCTAAATGGTGTTTATTCAATTGATAGAAATAATGGCATCCTACAAAATATACCGACAATTGAGCTTCATCTTGGCACCACCACCAATGCTGCACAAGCTTTTAGGGTTATTCTAAAATATCTTTATACTGGAATGCTTACATTTGGTACTGTACATCCACTTCAGGTAAGATCGTTTTTTTTTTTTTGTCGTAATTTTTATCTATTAAATATACCAACTACAAATATTTCACTTTTATACGAAGAATTATATTTTCTTGAAAATGACACTTTGCATTTTTTTTAACAGACAACTTATTCTTTTTTTCCATAAAAAATGTGATAAAAATTTTTTGATAAAATTTTGCAGGTGTTACAAGTATCTCGCATATGTCAAATTCCAATGGTTGAAATGCAAGTAGCAGAACTCGTAAAATTATTTCTATCCATTCAGTTCGATGAAAGCAATTGTTTTACAACGCAGCATAATAACATTGCCAGTAGGGAATTTATTTTTAACTCCCTTTAATCTTCAATTATTTCCAACCATTTACTAATTTTTTTTTCAATTAAAAAAATGCTTACTATTTAGGATATTTAGTTTTCATCAGAAATTTCGGTCATTTCTAAATTAATTAATTTGGCTATTTTTAATTCACTCCTATCTCAGGCAAAAACTAGATTTTAGGCATTTGCAAGAACTTATTTTGAGTAACTAATTACCTGTAATGTAATCTTTAATCGTCAGGGTATTCTTATAATGCTTAAAATATTTTAATAGCTACTAAATTTGCATTTAAATTTGCAGTAAATTCAAGCTCAACAAGTTTGACAAAGCAACGGCATTATGTATCGACATCTATGGAAAGGAAAATTCAGAAATCATCAAAAAGTATTGTTGAAAATGATTTAATGAACAATGAATTGGTCGGGTAAGCATTAATCAAACAATCTAATAAATTTTTCTCGAATCTTTACAGATCGGAAAAATACTAATCGATTTTGCTGACTTTTTTTCATTTCCAGACTGTGTTATTGAATTCAGGAAAGACAAATGTTTGTTGCTGTTTTGTTACAATTTATATTAAATAGTTTCCAATTAATTTTTCTTAATTAATTAAGAAACGAACACTTATTGTTTAGTGCATCATCGAAAGAAACATCTTTGACCGGACAAACCGGAAGTGCTGAACGATTCAATGAACTTGTCCTTCCATCAAACGATAAAGAAGGTTAAAATCTTTTATTTCATTTCAAATTCAACATGAAGTTTAAATTGATGCGTAATTCCACGTTTTTTTCTGTGTAATTTAAACTCGATACAAATTTTAATTGCAACATATTTAAAAGGAGTTAAAATTCTAGCATACAAATTATTTTAGCATATTTAATTTCAGGTTGGTGTCGTAATAAAAAATACATCGAACAGGTAGCAAATGGTTACATGTGTACAGTATGCCATAAAGTTTACGGTCGTTATAATTCGGTATCATATCACGTTACGATATATCACCGTAATTCACCTATTAAATGTGACGAAAAAGGTTGTCCGTTTAGGACACGTGAAGCACGATATATTCATTTCCATAAATACTATCGACATCATATTCCTTTACCGGATAATATTGATTTAGGTTGGTATTTTTTAAAATCATTTTTACATTATAAAAATAATTGACAATTTTCTTTTTTTTGATGTACCTTTTTTTAGCACTTTTTTTGGCTTAATTTTTTATCACTTAGCATTAACTGTGAATTTTTGTAACTAATTTAGGAAAAGATTATGATAGTTTGAGATGGTGGAAATTATGATAGAGTAATTTAATTTAAATATTTCGTTAGGTTCACGGAAATGTCCATTTTGTCGTCATGTGTCGAAAAGTCCAGCAATGCTTGAAAAGCATATAAGCCGCCATGTACAGGATGTAGACCGCGCTGCCTCAGTTGCTGCTGGAATATCACAGGATCATTTTTCACGATATTCTCAAACCATATCCAATTTCCAATGTTCAAAATGTAGCTATAGGTATTATTTCAGAGAGTAATAATTTTTGTTCCTTTTATTTTGATTAAAAAAATTGTTAACAAATTAAAATCGTTTCTTAGTGAAAAGATTGACAATAATTAGTAAACAAATTAGCTGATACAATTATTATTAACTTGTTATAAGATATTTTCCGAAAGTTCATGCATATGTTAAATTGATACTTTATCGTAAATTTTAAAAATGGAATTCATTTAAAACATTGTGAAGTATTTTAAGAATTGATGTAATTGTTATAGAAGAAGTAACTTCCAATGATAAGTTAAATGATCAATTACAACTGATCACTTCATTCTCATCCTACTTTGAACTAAAATAGAAAAGTTTTCCTCTCTAATTGAAAATAATCTTTTAAAAATGATTGTTATTATGTCAGTTTAAATTTTGCAACATTTCTGAATAAATAGCCATACAATAAAATAGTTGAAATTGAAAATACTTGCAATGATTGAGTAGAAATAAGTTAATCAAAATAGAGTAAAAGAAGAAGAAGAAATAATTTCTAAAAAAATTTTTTTGCAGAGGACGAACATCGGATGATTTGGAACGTCATAAATTATTTGTTCACAATAAAGAAACATTCCGACGGAAACAAACTGCGCTCGCTGCTGTTGATTGTAGTAAAAGTGCTAACATTAAAAATAACATTTCGAATGAAATTTCTCTACGGTTCGGATATTTTTTTCTAATTAAATTTTAATGCATTTATGATAATCAAATCACTCCATAAATATAAATTTATCAAAATCTACAAATTTAAGGGAAGATTTGATAAAGATACAGAAGAAGTTACAAGTCTGTAAACTTGAAATTAATTTTGAAGTTCAATTTGTAGATTTCATTAAATTTTTGTTAATTCAGGGATGAAAAAGTTCTATTGGATGATAGCGTAGAAAGAGGGGAAGAGATTGCGGAAAAGATGAAAGCTATTGTTTCAAGAACCACAACGACAACAGTACAATTAGAGGCAATGTGCCTTACAGTTCCTAAAGCGTAAATTAATGTTTAAATTTAAAACATAATCAGTAAATTTTTGAGGTGGAAAAAAGTTTGATACAGTAAAAATGTCATAAATTTAGTTTGTTTTCTTACTACAAATGAAATTTTCTTCTTAATAAGTGGAAGAATTATAATATTTGATGTGAAAATAAATGATTTTATTAGCAACTTTTCTTTTTTTTGATTTTATAATGATATTTAATAACAACAACATCAATTTTTTTAATTTTATCAATTTATAAAATATTATTTGATTCGCATTCAATAATATTTTAGAAATGTAAAATTGAAAACTTCTAAGATCATGGTAAAGGTTATGAAATTATCAGCAATGCATCATCAATAGGCTATCATATCGATGAAGAATATATTTTCGAGAATATTTTTGCAAAAAGCATGGTATATCTACCATTCTGTGGAGCTTAAAGATCAATATACTTTACTTTTAAAATTTACTTAATCAAATACTCATAAAGAACTTCTTAATAAAGTTAAAGTTAAAGAAAAATTATTCAAATCCAATCATATGTCTATTCTCATGCATTAAATTAATATCCTTCTCTCATTCTTCACAAAAATTACACTCTAAACCGTATATTTCTAACTTATAATTTATTTTTTCAATTCTAATTCACATTTAAATTCTTTCTTTAAATTAATATTTACCAAATGAGGCAATCGAAATCACCAAAATTAATGTCAAGCCTTATTAATCATACTCGAACTTAAAAGTTGTAAAAACTATTCATTCAGTTCAATATGAAAAAATCATGCATTTCAAAATGCATTTCTGTTATTGTTTTCCTTGCAACCAATTGATCAAATCAATCAATCAACCGATCGATCAATCTATGTTTTGTTCATAAGAATTTCTAAACTATAAAAATTTCATCTTTTTTAATAAAGTGTGCCAGTAGCTTTTTCTTTTAATATTAAATCATCACATGTTTTGTTAACATATGTATGTACTCATTGATTCATCCATCTTGCGTGCCTTTTAATAAAAATTAATTGTTTTATTATTTTTTTCATATTTTGCAATTTTCGAACAATAAATATGGCTTCAAATCAAAAAAGTTTTTCTTTTATGCTTTATTTTTTAATTCCTTAATTAAATTGAAATCAATATTTGCTACAAAAAAGGAAAAAATGTTTGAACATTATTCATATAATGTCATTTAATTACTTATTTTCCGAATGTATAACAAATTCATCATCACTTACTTTCCAAAATTTTCAGCTTTTTAGAGCTCTTTCAATAATATTCATGAATTTTTAAATTAAAAAAATTTACATCATTTGTTGAAGTCTCGAATTTTCATAAATTTGTATTTGTAATTATTTTACGTGATTAATTCAGTTTATTCGTCTATAAAATTGTTATAACAAATGTGGTCAAATTATTGTTTTCATATTCACCAAACTGTGGCAGTGTTATTAAATTTCATCTGTCACTAATAAATTCTACAATGGTCGGTTCATCGTAGCAAAAAAAAGCCTCTTTAAAAAATTTCACGTAATATCAAGAAATAATGATAGCTTTCATTTCTAACATGTCTTTTCACTAAAAAATTGGAATTATTAATTAACAATAGATAATATTTGCGTTTGAAATAAAATTTTTGTAATATTTTATTTGGAAAGCAATGAATTAATAATACCTCCAATTCAAAAAAGCCTGAAATTTGGGATTTAAATGAATCAAAAAGTAATAACAAAATATTTGACCTCAACGAATGCCCTGCAACAATAATGCTCCAATTTTTGCCAGCAAGACTGAATGAATAATGGACTGATTCCATTCAGTCAAGTTTAATGAATTTTAAAAATTGTAGACAACAAAGAAATCCACGAATGAATTGCAAAAGAAAACGGAAGAGTTGAAGGGAAAGTTAGGCTTATTAGCGGAAAGGAAGAGAGAACAACAAAAGACAACAACGAAACAAAAATTAAAGAATTTAAGAAAGAGTGAGTCACCGAAGAAAACATCTAAACAATGTAAGAAGTCGTCGGGAGAGAAAAAGATCTCGAAAGGTGACAAGAATGATCCCGCGCGACGAGGAAAATCCTGTTCAGTGGATCGAACTACCGGTGGAAATGCTAAAACGGTTGTTGTTTAGAGGGATGAAATTGAAATTGTTTTCCTTTGATTGTGTAAGGAAAGACAGGGAGAGGTTGGAGAAATGCCTGTAGAAAATATTCCAGTTTCTAATTGAGGCATCGCGAAGTATTACAACACTTCGAGAATTGCTTTTTCGAAATCGAAATTAAAAAAAAAGTTGCACGAAAAATAAAAAATCAATTTTAAAACAAGCAATGAATAACATTTGTAATTAATTGCTGATGGATAATAGAACGAAAATTATGAAAGATTACTTTTATTTTATAGCTATTAAGTAGAACTTATATCCTTCAAGCTGCAAAACCTCTTAGCCATTTCTTTGTTAGTAATTCAAGATTCAATTAGCGTAAGAAAAAGTTTTCTTTAGGCTTTGAAAGAAGTCAACAATGTAAGAAATATTGATCTGTCTGTTTTACTTAATTCACTTTCTGGTTGACCTACCCGGTAGCGGCTGTTAAATTGCACTACTTTATTGATTACTCGAAACTTCCAGAACGTCTCGATAATAGTTAGAAGATATTTTTTATTTCAAGCAATAGTTTATGCTCAGACAAACTATTATTGCTTGTAATTTTGTATTGATTGAATGTTAAAACTAACTAATATTAATTATTTATATTAATGACATTTAAATGGAAGGAAATTTTTGTTAATCAATTAGTTTAAAATATTTAAACTCTCTGCATGTTTTTAATGTAAACGATTCTTAAAACCATTAACAACTAAAATAACAAAAATTTTCGAATTTGATAGAATAGAAACACATAGAGGAATAAATCTCAAAAGGTCAAAATAAACCTTAAAATATGCTCGTATAGTGAAAGGCCTAGCAATCGGAAATGTGTTAGGTATATAATCAGAAGATGAATTAATTTATTCATCGCATGCAAGAATTTTTCTGAGGATCAATAGTTATCTATGTGAAATGTAAAGGTCAATACTTTATCAGTATTCCATGTGAAGTTAAAGATATTTGGAAAGTGAGGATGTGTCTAATCGTCTGATGTATGTCTAGTTGGAAAAGAAGAAAAATAAAGTGAAAAACCAATTGGCTGATCAAGAAATATTTGAAAATTCGAAGTTTGAAATTTCAAATTATCATTCAACTGGAATCAGTGCATCAGCTACACAGTTAATTTTTCTTATCACTTTTTAATGAAATGATATGAATGATTAGCATTTGTAATGCTTCTAGGTCCTCTCTCTCTCTCTTTGTTTCTCTCTCTCTCTGTCTCTATGTTTCAGAATGTGAAGAATAAATATGTAATAGATTATTTCAAATTTATCATTAAAGGAGCATTTGCTAAATATTTACATGAATGTTTCAGTACTCCGTTGGAAGTAAGTTTAATAAAAAAAGGCGATGGTGTGAATTTGGAACAACTAAATGATACAGCTGAAAAGAAGCTAAAAAATAAGTGTGAAAAAGTATGTATGCTTAACATTTTAGCTGTATCATTTTAGTAAATATAACTTTATCAGTAATAAATTACAATAAGAAAGCTAACAAACGTTAATCAATAAAGGTGCTAATGACCATTTCTGTCAATTTATTTGCTATTAATAAATGCTAATAATGTCTTTTTGTTGCCGTAACTGAAATCTACATTCTTGTAAATTATCAAATTTCATTTTCGAAAGTTTTCATTATTGAATGAAAATTGAAATTACATTATAGGAAGATGAAGATGATACATTATTTAATGTAGATCCTTTGATGCCTGATATGGATTTACCATCTCTTCGTTTAAATACCAAAACGGAATGATATGATACTGATAAGATGGACATATGGCTAGTTATTTTACCTTGTAAAAATGAACACATTTTGAAGTGAAAATTGTTGTTCTTTTTTTCTGAGAAACAAAATTGTTGAATCGTTGAAATTCAATGCTATTCTCTCAGAGGTCAATTATGCAACTGATATGTTTATCATTTGGATAGAAAATGTACGAGAAAAAAGTGTCACCTTAACTAAAAAACATCATTCTAATTGATAAAACACGAGATTTCAACATAAAATATTAGTGATCAAAATTCTTAGCACATTTAATCTTCTACTGAGAATACATCAAACTATACAAAATTAAAATCATCTTCCAAAAATTCATTTTAATGACAATCTTTACGTTTCACTACCATTTCAATTATTCAGACTTCCTTCCTCTTATACAATTTGTGAATACAATGCAGAAAAATTGTTCAAATCGGTTTTTCGGAATTCAATTAAATGATCTGAAAGTATTTAAATATCATTTTGCAAGAAAAATTTTTGTAAAATGCTATGAGAGAAAGAATAAAAATGAATAATTTGATAGAGTAAACAATACATTGCAATAATTAATAATTAAATTAACATCTCTCATAATTCCGTTAAAATTAGTAATAGTAAAATGTTCCATAAAATTAAAAATTATTATAAATTTAATTTCATGAAACATTTTATTATTACTATCTTAGCAGGAAAAAATTTTTTTGAATTTATTGATAAATTTTATTGTAAGAAAAAAGGAAAAGAATGGAGAGAAAATGTTGGAAAGGATGGAAATGAACGAAATCCAAAGTTTTTTCAGATAGTCAGCTATGATGAAAAAAAAATGAAAGATTGCAAATTATTAAAGTATGTGCATGGAAAAAAGAAAGGAAACTGATAAATTCTAAACGACAAAATTTCACAATTGAAAAATTTCATCATTTAGTTGGAGGAAATAAACCTTAAAGAATGAGAAAGAAAAAAGCAATCAATACAGTAACATCAAAATGACTTTCTGGAATAAATTTTATTATACAAAGTAAATGGTCAAAAGTTGTTTACGGGCATTTTGTGCTTAAAATAAAATGGCGTCCAAAAATTTATTAATATTACCGAAATCATTAAAAGCACAATGGCATAGAAAGCAAATTCAGAATTCCAGTATTTTTAAATAATATAAATTTAGTAATTAAAATTCAATTCCATTTATTAATTTCATTTCATTGAAATAAATGAACAAGTTGAAAAACCTCCAAACACTGTATGTTAAAAATTTTAGGTTAAAAAAACGAACACAAAAACTATTTCTTTGAGGTAAAAAAAATAATTCCTTCTGATATTTTTTGCAACTTGAAAAATTCTCGATGAATTCCACTTTTGCTAGTTACTTCAATTTGTTGTCCAATAATATGAAAGAAAGATTAGATAAGAAATCATTCCATCGGTATCCAACTATTTAGAAAATACTCATCTTTTTTCATCATTTTCTCCAGCACTGAACCATGTCTTGGCCAATTATTGTAATACACCGCGATACCATTTGTCAGATAACCAATCCACCATGAAAAGGTACCTGTACTCATTATCGTATGATTACAACGAATCAGTGTGGCCATATCAACTTCTCGATAACCTGATGATACGATATAAATTTCACCTTAAATTATTTTTATTACTTTTGTATATGAATTTTTGAGTTTTCAATTTGTTGAATTTTAATTAGTTTTGCATTATTTAATGTAAGTTTCGTAAAATTTGAATGAAAAAATTTCGAATTCTTTTTCCTTCCTTCTTTCTCTTTTGTTTCTCTCAGTGCATACCACTTATTTGATTATTTTAAAAAAAGCGTTTAATTAATTTATTAAATTGAATAAAATGTTCATCATGCTAATGAATTACATTGAAATATGGATCCTCAAAAAAAAAAATGTTGAGATGGTACCAACCTTCTCGTGTACTAACCTTTATAAGTATGATTGATATTTTTTTCAACCCAATGCTTATTATCACTGCTTATCACAAATATTAACTTTTCGAATTTTGATCTATAATTTATGATTTTTAATTAAGTGGATTAATTTGAAATTACAAAATCATCATTTGTTCTAAAAACCGTCAAAATGCAACTTCATTTTTTAGTAAGTGAAGTAGGGAAAAAAATAGTAATAAATTAAGATAAATAAGGGAGGATTAAGTGATGATAGCTTTTTGATAGAAAATAGCATATTGTTTGTCAGTTTTCAACAATTTTTTATCACCAAATGTTTAAATAATTTTAGAATTTAAATTTGAAAAATTTTATGACAAAATATTTGTCTGAAATTAAATAGAGAAAATATTTCGTGTGAGTGATGAGTTACAGTTTTGATCATATTCAAATGAAATGATCCTATCTGAAATTGATCTTATCACAACTGACCTAAAATAATCCATTGCACTGATAATGTAATCTTTTGTGATAGCTATATGACCATATTTTATATTTCGACTGTTCATTGTAACATCTATACCATGTCTTATATGTATTCCAACGTATATATAACCTGTAATTATTAACTTTTAACATTTCATATTAATTTTTTGATTCTATGAATGCTTTAAAGTTTGTATGAAGAAATAGAAAAAGTGATCAATTGTTATCACGAAATGATAAGAAGAAGAAGAATACCATAAGAGTGTTTAGTAATATCCATTTGATTATGATGATTAAGATTAATGATAATTGCAGTTTCTGCATGATATTTCGCATATTTAGCTTTTTGTAAATATTCATCCGCTCGTTTGATAATTTCTGGTAAAAAGGTGAATTCTTTACGAATCAAATCTTCCTGAAAATTACCAGAAATTGGCGGTATTTTTGAGGAAAAAATGAGCAGTAAAAAGCGATGATAATAATGATAACGATAATATTGATGAAACATACAAAAGAAACTAAAAGCTAAAAAAGGTAGTATAAACTGTTTAAAATTATTTGATGCGAGGAATAATTTAGTGGCATATTTATTTGCATACATTTTAATCATTTCATCAATTATTGCTTAATCATTGATTAAACAGATAGAGTATGAGTTTACCTGTTGCGGATGAAAGTAACGATATGATTGAAGGTAACCCGAAATATATTCGAAATTTTCATTTGCGAATAAATCATCAATCTTTTTTCCATAATATTTACAACATGACGGAAATTACATCATATTTAAGATGTTTTAGTAATTAAATTTGAAATATAATCAAATTTTTTAAATTAGAATTAATTTTGGGAGGTTCAAAAATGATATTTTGAATTGATTAAAATCTTTAAACGAACAGTAAAACGATGTTCATTTGCGCTGTAACGTCGGATTAATTCATCATTCAGCTCATTGCTTACTGTAATTGCATCCAATTTAAAGCCCCGCCGTAATGTACATTTCACGGGGACGATTAATTTTGCTTTATATCGCTCAGCTATTGCTCGTAATGATGCATATTGAAACATTAAATTACCCAATCCTAAATTGAACTTTTCATAGCTGCATATTTATAAAA